TTAACTCCCCTGCTAGGAACTCAGTCTGGTTCAAAGCATATTATATTAGTGTTTGCACATTGTCCCTGTGTTAAATAAACAAAAACAAATTCAGCGGTTGTTAGAATGAGAACATCAGAGACTTTCAATGGGAATTTTTAAAAGAAAAAAAATGTCTTTTTTCTTTTATATAAAAGATAAACATGGACAAGACATTATTAAATCAAGGCTATGATGCATCAATTTTCATTTTATTTTTATCACTGAAACTTTAATCAGCAGTCAGTAAAAACAAACTCAGTTTATCACAGCTTGTTCTCCTTAATGTATTTCTTTCCTCATATAGAGATGAACACATCAGGCTGTTAGTTTGTTTTAAATAAATACTCTGCCTCAACTTTGATAACAATAAAATAAACATTTTACCTTTTAAAATATTTATACGTTTTTGAAAAGCTCTCAGTATTTTAGGAAATAATTTGTATTGTCTTATGAACCTAAATCAGTCAAATTGGTCAAAACTTCAGTGATTTTAACAGAATCAGTTTTATGAACAAGAATCTGATGGTTTAATTATCAGAGAGAAAAAGATGCTATGTGATTAAACTCTAAATACCTTTAATAATGTTTGATTTCAGCATTTTTGAGATCATATTCAGCTGCAGGTGACTGTTTGATCTCCAGCAGTCATTGGTTGAGAGGCAAAATCCACCCTCAAACAATCATGAATATGTTCATTTATAGGGACAATTTAGAGACCAGTTAACACAACAGTTGTATTTTTGGATTGTGGCTTGAGGCTAGAGTACTAGGAGTTACCCATAATGCAGAGGGAGAGCATGAAAACTCCGTTATTAAGTTAATAAATGTGCTGCAGGTTGGCTCAGGAGCGTCAGCAGGCAGCAGATCATCATCTTCAAAGATCTACAACTGAAGCAAAGAAGCAGAAACTTCTGGATTCATGGAGCAAAGCTGGAGTCCAAAGCTTCACCATGAAGGCTGCAGTGCCGGGATCTGAAGTACCAGGATGTAAGGTTGGTGTGTCAGCTTCTTCCTGTTCCTGATAAATCTGCTGAAATGTTCCTCATTTCAGCAGATTTAGAGAGGTTTTCTAAATATGAAAACCTCTCAGAGTTTTCCTCTGTTCATCAGTCTGGATGTTTGGATCTCAGTTTGTTTCATCAGCAGAGCTCTACAGTGTCCTCATGTCTCCACTAACCTCACCTGGTACCTGTTCAGGATCAACACACCTGGATCGGCTGTCAGAACCAAACTAAAGTTCACATCATCCACTTCATGACACATTTAGTTTTTAGCATCTGGAATGATTATTAAGTGGAGCTGAAACAAGCAGATCATCAGATTATCTTCAGTTTGCTGTTTAAATCACAGAGTTTCAATCTGATCAATAAGGTTTAATTTGGACTTTTTGTTCTTCATGCTGAGAACATCAGAGCTGCTGTTTGATCACTGAGATCTTCATCGGTAAGAGTTTTACGTTATTCCAAGTGCTGAAGTATGGAAACATCTTGTCAGTGAAGGTGTGTGTGAAGGTGTGTATGTGTGTGTTAGTATCCAGATCAGAGAACGACAGCTTTCCTCCATCCCAGTCCAGATTCACTCTGATCCTCTGGACTTTATTCTGGACTGAGAGACGAGTGGGACGAGCTGGTGGAGAACGTGCTTTATATTTACCTTCATAGAACCATATAAACAACCATCCAGACTGTATGTCTCCCTTCCTCTGGACAGACTCTCCTATCACACCAAGCATCCATCCTTCACTATCTCCAACTTCAACATCCCAGCTGTGGCTCCCTGAGTTAAAACCCTCAGAGCTCAGGACGCACTCATCATAATCAAATCTCTCTAGATTATCAGGAAGCTGCTGTTTGTCTCTGAAAGTCAAACTGGTCAGATCTTCAGACAGGTGGAGTCCTGGATGAGCCGTGTTTGGGTCCAGAACCAGAGGAGTGTAGGTCACCATGTCCTTCATGTTGCTCCAGATGTTGAAGGCCAGGTTGCCCAGATGTTTGGCCTGGTCTATCAGAGCTCCTGAGGGCAGCTGTGGATCCTCCAGCAGGGGGCAGCGCTGGACTCTTTCCACTGCAGCCTTGTAGTTGTGCAGGAATGAGACATCTGCAGCTCTCAGCTCCGCTTCTGTGGCTCTGACTGTGTCTGAAAGAGCTGCTATCTCTCTGCTCAGAGCCTCCATCTTCTCCTTCATCATCCCTCTCTTCTGCTCCTTTTCCTCCCTCAGTGCAGCCAGCCTGGCCTCCTCTTCCTCTGCTAGAAACTGATGAAGCTTCTTAAACTGCTCCTTAATCTGCCTCTCTGTGTGTCGGGCCTGGACCTTCAGGTGTTCTGCTGTCTGATCAAACTTCTTTTTAACTTTCTTTCTGAGCTCCAGCTTCTTCTTTAAAAACTCCAGAGATGTTTTCAGATTCTCTCTGTGATCCTGAGCAGCTTCCCGGATTGGTCTGAATCTGTGGTTGGTGTGTTTTTCTGAATGACTACAGATGGAGCAAATTGGTTCTTGATGGTTCAGACAGAAGAGTTTGAGTTTCTCAGAGTGCAGACTGCAGAGATCCTCTGAAACTCTCTGATCGCTCTGCTGTAAGAAAGTCTCACACAGGTTCTTCAGAACCAGATTTAAAGGTGGATCAGCCTTAGAAGATTTCCTCTTACAAACTGGACACTCTCTTGATGGTTTCTCTCTCCACCAGCTCTTCAGACATTCCTTACAGAAGCTGTGGCTACATGATAGAACAAGCGAATCCTTAAAGACTTCCTGACAGACCGAACAGCAGAGATCCTCCTCTAACCTGGAAGCCATTTTGTCTCTGAGTGAAGCTGAAAACACAGAAGGTCCAGTCAGTCTCGGCTCCATCCCTCCTCTACTGACTTCCCTCAAAGTGATTCTGAGTGTTTTGGTCCAACTCACCTCCAGTGTGGGCAGCTTGAAGCAGCAGAGTTGCAGGTTTCCACTTTTCTCTCCTGCAGCTGGACTCACTCAGAGGAAGCTGCTAGTTTGGTCTGAAGGTGAATCTGATCGTCTGGGAGTCTCTGCAGGAAACGATGATCACAAACTGTTTCCTGCTTTAGTTCAGGTAGAACAGCTTAGGGGCGGAGCTTAAAGCTGTTAGACATGCTGCCTCAGCCTTCATAAAGGTTTGTTTCGTTCCAACGTCCAAAATTCAACATTTGAACTGCTATAAAACTCACTGATTAACAAGTTTTATTTTTCTCTGCTCAGATCAAACCAAAACCTGTAATATAGACGGTAGAATAAACTGCCCTGATTTCAGCTCTGATTGAAACTTTTTACCAAGATTTTCATCAACCGATGATCAGTTCTTCTCTTCCTCCAGACCAGCTGCAACAACAACTCAGTTTTTGTTGCTAAATGTGTTTTTAATGTAATGCTTATTATTCTCTGACTTCTTTGTCTCACACTTTGTTAAATGTGACAGAATCAGATGTTTTAATCTGAACTCCATTCTGGTTGCTGATGTTTGCTGGTTTCATCTGCTGGTCTCTATAAAACGCAGGTTAGAGATGTTGACTCTGTTCTCTGCTTTCAGGACTGGGTGGTCAGTAAATTCGGTCGAGTCCTTCCTGTGCTGCAGCTCAGGTGTCAGAAAGGCAGCAAAGCTCGAACAGTGAAGTACGACCCGTCAAAGTACTGCCACAACATCCGCAGACTGGACCGGACCGATCCAGATGAGACTCTGTCAGTCACCCAGCTCACCTGGCAGGTGGAGGGAGGGGATGATGACATCAGCAAGAGGAGGAGGGGAGAGTTCCCCCCATACGAGCCAATCAAACCCAAGAAGAGTCGCACAGACCCAGGAGACTCTCTTAACACTTTCAGCAGGATCAGGTGACTTTTTTAAAATGTTCTTACTTGTTTTTAAGGAAGTGTTTTTACACAAAGGAGCCGCAGACAAAATTAGCACCATGTTGATGTGACAACATCTCATGAACTGTTTAATTTTTTTTTAACAGAATAGTTGTTGGAGAATGTTGAGGAAAAACGTTTTCATGGTGTGTCGTTGGGCCCAGGTTCTGATAAAAGATAGAAGATAGTTTGATGGATCTCTGGCCTCAGTTTGCCCTGTTTGTTCTGTTCGTATACAGAAACCCCGTGTCCTGCTTTGGTTCATTCAGATGTTTGTGGTGGTTCTTCTCTACTTTCCCCCAAACTGATTACTTCCCTATAGGAGCCTCTCATGCTCTTCCACTTTCCTGCAACCTGTCATGTTTGTTGCAAACGGAGACTGAAACGGTTCTGAAAAGGCTCCATAAAGCTGATTTAATGAGATCCATTAATTGGAAATGCAGAGTCAATAAGAGCCAATCAGAGCTGCTAAGCAGCTCAGATAACAATTTAAACCTGACCATGTGGAGGCAGCAGAGGCAGAGACTTGAGTTTAAAATTCATAGGCTAAACCCAAATGTGGAGATGTTCTAAGCTCTGAAGAATGATTGTATTTTTTTATAAAGGCAGCATGTTTTTATTAGAAAGATGTTTATTGGAGTTCTTTGTTAAAAGCAAGACCAGCTGCCAGGAAAAAAATAGAACTTGGTCAGATGTAGAAAGATTATTTGAGGCTTTATTTTAAACAATCATATAGCCTAGTTATGAGAAACTCCAGCTGTGATGATTCTGTGAAACTCTGGAAGCGACCAATGAAATTGGAGCCAAAGGATTTATTTAGGTCAAATGGTTTTACTGGACAATTTAAAACACACAGACAGAAGTGGAAATCGATCTCTATGCGTTCTATAAATATCAAAATGTGGAGACGTTGGCGTTCTTTGACAAAGACCTGTATGGAGATGCACTATTAAAATCTCATGTCTTGTGAAGAGAGATCCTGAGAGTCTTTGTGTTGATTTAAACTTTATATTTTCTGCCACTGATTAATTCCCAACAAATTGGCGCCCAACGTGGTGCAAACAACAAAAATGGAGGCGGCCTCCAGATGGGGTCACACTGAATAAGTGTGATCATTTTCAGGGTTATGATCCTGCAACAACAGATTAATTTATCTTTTAAAGTTTACTGATTATTTAGCAGACTAGTGACCACATAGACATGAAAAACAAAAGTCACATGATTCACAACAACAACTAACAGACTAACAAGTGAAAAGGAGACAGTAATGAAACATGTAGAACATGTTTATAATCCATGTTTCTTCCTTTCTTCTTCTTTTTCTTCTTCTCCTGTTAGATCCGAACAGAACACTGAAGTCCATCAGCTCACCAACGGCTCTGATCTGCCAACCAACCACAGAGCAGCTCAGAGGGAGGAGAGGTGGTTCCTTGACAGCGACGTCGACTTGGACGAGGAAATCCGCAGTCTGGTGGCCGCCCAGCAGAGCTCCCATGATGCACTGCAGCAGGAGGCGGAAGACATCGACAACCTGGAGGTGGTGGGACTCGACTACTTGGTGAAATCAGGATCCAAAGGTAACAGAAATGCTCCAAACAGGGATTTTCAATCAATAAGTCATCAGTATGTGATCCTAATTATTAAAAGGAATGACCTTTGACCCCTGAGAAACGCCAAGTAAAGGATCATCATCCATCGTTAGCTGGTAGAACCTCATGGAGCTGCGATTGCTTGGAGAACCAGCTCTACAATCCAGACGTCACTGAGCAGAGAAGGAGCCTGATGTTCCCTTCAGAGGAGTCTAGACTTCCTGCTGGACCCCTTGAGATGAGTTTGTAGGAAGAATGTGACAAATTAACAGCTGGAGGGAAGACCTGGTGGACCTTCATGGTTTAGGAAGATCCTCAGTGTTCGGAGAAGAAATGGAAACATTAGAAAGTAGAAAAACTGTAACTGAAATTCAGGAGTCAATGAAGGATTTAATAAAGTTCTTTAAAGTGCAAACTTAGAGACGGGAAAAGATAAAAACTAACCTTGGAGCTTACCTGATTTCTCCATTTGATTCCAGGAGATGAGGAAGACTACGACTCTGCTGACACAGATGAACTGTTTGAGTCCAGGAGAAATCCACCTGCCCCCCCACAGGAGAAACCTTCATCACCACCAGCCCAGCAGTTTTCAGACAAGAAGAGACAAATGAAAAGAAAAACTACGCCTGGAGACGTTTCCTCCAGTAAACCCTCATCCTCTGTGCAGAGCGAGAACCCAGCTGGCATCCGTCCCGCGAGAAAACACTCATCAGATTCACACAGTGACCAGGATGATGAAGAGGAGGAGGGAAACTCTTCAGACTCGTCTTCAGATTTTGATTTTCCAGCCCTGTTTTCTGCTAACTCCAACTATCTGAGGATCTCCTTGGCTGATTTACAGAGGCTGGCCGAGAGCAAAGTTCCCAGCATCCTCGGATCCGGACTGAAACCGGAATCTGGCCTCCCGGGGCGACATGCGCGCAAGGAAGCCATCACCCCTAACGAGATCCTCGCCTCCATCCTGGGGGAGGACAGCAGCGACGATGACAAGGAACACAAGAAGAAGAAAGTAGAAGGAGTGACATCAGCGTCTCTGCAGACCTCAGAGGAAACAGCGACGCAGAAGGAAACTTCTCAAACTGACGGGCGTCTGAGGAGGAAGAGGAAACAAGAGCAGGATGAAGCTTTAGGCATCCAGAGACAGAAACATGGAGAAACACCAGAAGCTCTCAGAGATCCACAGAGCGACTCTTCCTCTGGGAGTGAAGAAGAGGAGGAAGAGTCTGCAGAGGATCAGCCTTCATCCAGCAGCTCCTCTGAGGAACAAGAGCAGCAGGCTGGAGCTCCTGCTCCAGGCAGCAAGTCCTCCTCCAGCGAGGAAGAGGAGGAGGAAGAGGAGGCTCCTCCCCGGGTGGCGTTGGCAGCCAAGGAGGAAGAGGAGCTGCAGAGGAAGGCCAACATGAGGAGGCTGGCTGCTCTCCAGCAGAGGCAGAAGGAGGCTGAGGAGCATAAGAAGCTCATCCAGGGAGCTCTGGCCAACCTGGTGGGTGTTCCTGGTTTTCCATCCGGTATCTTGCTCCGGTTCTGTCCAGTCCGTTCTGAATATCCAGGATGGAAGAGGATTGTTGCTCTTTAGAACAATCTCCTCTGATTCCAGACATCAGTATTTGTTTTAATGATCTGAACATTAATGCACTAAAAGCAGAACTGATTTCATTTAATGCTTTAACGTTTTTGCTAACTTTGAAAACGTTTAGCGAACTTAACTTCCCCTAAATAACTTACTGGGCTTTTTTGTAAATTTTCAGTTGAATAAAGACGCATGAAACTTTATTTCCTGGTTTCAAATTCAGATTTACTTTATTGATCCCAAAGGGAAATTAAATGTTGTAACTCATATTAATTAAAATTCTTCAGAATCATTGTAGATTGTGATGGCTGTTGGCAGGAGAGATCTCTTGTAGCTGTCTGTATTACAGCAAATTTTAAGAAGCCTCTGACTGAAGACACTCTGTTTTCTCTAGTCAGCCTCAATAAGATGATGGTCAAGGTTGTCCTCCATTTTTTTATTCTATTTTATTATTCCACCAGGATGCTCCACCTCCAACCACAGGAAAACGCATCGTCTTTGGTTCAGACGATGAGGAGGAAAAACAGGAAGTTGTTTCAGCGGTCGAAGAGTCAAAGAAGCCCCTGTTCCAGGACAGCCAATCAGAAGACGAAGCCACAGCTGATGGAGCAGCAGCAGCCAATCAGAACGCCCCACACAAAGCCGTGAGTGAGGATCTTAGAGCGTTTGGTCAGCTCTGATCGTCCCAGTGGCTTCAGCTCCTCTGCTTGTTTTCAGGAGCGCCTGAAGCCGTCGGGTCCTCGGCTGTTTGATGACAGCGAAGATGATGATGAGGAAGGTGATGAAGAGGAGGATGGCAGCAGATTTGACATCAGGCCGGAGTTTGAAGGTCCAGCTGGACAGAAGGTCTGGTTGTCATGTGGAGATTATGATCTGCAGCGTTGCCTCAATCTGGTCTAGTTAAAGTCCTGGTTCTGGTTCTGAAACCAAGGTGTTTGTTTGTCGTCCAGCTGATGGAGCTGCAGTCTCGCTTTGGGACGGACGAGAGATTCCGGATGGACTCCCGCTTTCTGGAGGACGAAGAGGAGGAAGAGGAAACAGGTGAGAAGGTTTGGATGAAGGTCGAGTCAGGAGGAAGAGGAAGGAGGAAGAGGAGTGGAGATCAAACACTGGATGACAAAAGTCTTGAGTTTGGTGTTTTTGTCTCAACTATTCCTTTTTTAGGGACAGTTTTATTTACAGAGACTTTATAATTCATTTATTTATTGTTTTCATATTTTAGATTATTTTGGATATTTAAAATGTCTTCCTATTTCAGTATTTAAATGTTCATTAGAAATTAAAGTTTATTGATTTTTGGGAATGTTATATTGCATTATAATTATTATGCTATTATTATTATTGTTGTTTATTACAATAACTTCTGAGACAATTTATCATCCAGCA